TTCTCTAAATGTTTGAGAGAATTCACCTGTGAAGCCATCTGATCCTGGGCTTTTGTCTATTGGAAGAATTTTAATCACAGTTTCAATTGCATTACTTGTGATTAGTTGTTCATATTTTCTATGTCTTCCTGGTTTAGTCTTGGAAGGTTGTGATTTTCTAAGAATTTGTCCATTTCTTCCAGGTTGTCCATTTGATTGGCATATAGTTGCTTGTAGTAATCTCTCATGATCTTTTGTATTTCTTCAGTGTCAGTTGTTACTTCTCCTTTTTCATTTCTAATTCAGTTGATTTGAGTCTTCTCTCTTTTTTTCTTGATGAGTCTGGCTAATGGTTTATCCGTTTTGTTTATGTTCTCAAAGAACCAACTTTTAGTTTTATTGATCTTTGCTCTTGTTTTTTTCATTTCTTTTTCGTTTATTTCTCCCTGATCTTTATGATTTCTTTCCTTCTGCTAACTTTGGGGGTTTTTTTGTTTTCTTTCTCTAACTGCTTTATGTGTAAGTTTAGGTTATTTGAGATGTTTCTTGTTTCTTGAGGTAGGATTGTATTGCTATAAACTTCCCTCTTAGAACTGCTTTTGCTGCATCCCATAGGTTTTGGCTCATTGTGTTTTCATGGTCATTTGTTTCTAGGTATTTTTTGATTTCTTCAGTGATCTCTTGGTTATTTAGTAGTGTATCGTTTAGCTTCCAAGTGTTTGTATTTTTTACAGTTTTTTTCCTGTCTCATAGCATTGTGGTTGGAAAAGGTACTTGATACAATTTGAAGTTTCTTAAACTTACTGAGGCTTGATTTGTGACCCATGACATGATCTATCCTGGAGAATGTTCCATGAGCATTTGAGAAGAAAGTGTATTTTGTTGTTTTTGGATGGTATGTCCCATAAATATCAATTAAGTCCATCTTGTCTAATGTGTTATTTAAAGCTTGGGTTTCCTTATTTATTTTCATTTTGGATTATTTGTCCATTGGGTAAAGTGGGGTTTTAAAGTCCCCTACTATTACTGTGTTACTGTTGATTTCCCCTTTTATGGTTGTGAGCATTTGCCATATATGTTGAGGTGCTCCTATGTTGGGTGCATATTTACAATTGTTATATCTTCTTCTTGGTTCGATCCCTTGATCATTATGTAGTGTCCTTCTTTGTATCTTGTAATTTTATTTTAAAGTCTATTTTGCCTGATATGAGACTTGCTACTCCAGCTTTCTTTTGATTTCCATTTGCATGGAATATCTTTTTCCATCCCCTCACTTTGAGTCTGTATGTGTCCCTAGGTCTGAAGAGGGTCTCTTGTAGACAGCATATATATGGGTCTTGTTTTTGTATCCATTCAGCCAGTCTGTGTCTTTTGGTGGGAGCATTTAGTCCATTTGCATTTAAGGTAATTATCGATATGTATGTTCCTATCACCATTTTCATAATTGTTTGGGGTTTGTTTTTGTAGGTCTTTTCCTTCTCTTGTGTTTCCTGCCTAGCAAAGTTCATTTAGCATTTGTTGTAAAGCTGGTTTGGTGGTGCTGAATTCTCTTAACTTCTCGTTGTCTGTGTAGGTTTTAATTTCTCTGTTGAATCTGAATGAGATCCTTGCTGGCTAGAGTAATCTTGGTTGTAGGTTTTTCCCTTTCATCACTTTAAATATGTCTAGCACTCCCTTCTGGCTTGCAGAGTTTCTGCTGAAAGATCAGCTCTTAACCTTATGCGGATTCCCTTGTATTTTATTTGTTGCTTTTCCCTTGCTACTTTTAATGTTTCTCCTTTGTGTTTAATTTTTGATAGTTTGATTAATATGTGTCTTGGCGTGTTTATCCTTGAATTTATCCTGTGTGGGACTCTCTTTGCTTCCTGGACTTGATTGACTCTTTCCTTTCCCATATTAGGGAAATTTTCAGCTATAATCTCTTCAAATATTTTATCAGACCCAGGTCTTCTTCTGGGACCCCTATAATTTGAATGTTGGCATGTTTAATGTTGTCCCAGAGGTCTCTGAGACTGCCCTCAATTCTTTTCATTCTTTATTCTTTATTCTGCTCTTCGGTGGTTATTTCCACTATTTTGTCTTCCAGGTCACTTATCCGTTCTTCTGCCTCAGTTATTCTGCTATTGATTCCCTCTAAAGAATTTTTAATTTCATTTATTGTGGTGTTCATCATTGTTGTTTGCTCTTTACTTCTTCTAAGTCCTTGTTAAACGTTTCTTGTATTTTTTTTCATTCTATTTCCAAGATTTTGGATCATCTTTACTATCATTACTCTGAATTCTTTTTCAGGTAGACTTCCTATTTCCTCTTCATTTGTTAGGTCTGGTGGGTTTTTACCTTACTCCTTCATCTGCTGCATATTTCTCTGTCTTCTCATTTTGTTTAACTTACTGTGTTTGGGATCTCCTTTTCACAGGCTGCAAGTTCATAGCTCCTGTTGTTTTTGGTGTCTGCCCCTAGTGGGTGAGGTTGGTTCAGTGGGTTGTGTAGGCTTCCTGGTGGCGGGGCCTGGTGACTGTGTTCTGGTGAGTGGGGCTGGATCTTGTCTTTCTGGTGGGCAGGCTGTGTCTGGTTTTGTGTTTTGGGGTGTCTGTGAACTTAGTGTGATTTTAGGCAGCCTCTCTGCTGATGGGTGGGGCTGTGTTCCTGTCTTGCTAGTTGTTTGGCATGGGGCATCCAGCACTTGAGCTTGCAGGCCGTTGGGTGGAGCTGGGTCTTAGCATTGAGAAGGAGATCTCTGGGAGAGCTCTCGCCAGTTGGTGTTATGTGGAGCTGGGGCGTCTCTCTGGTAGTGCAATGTCCTGGACTTGGCTCTCCCACCTCGGAGGCTCAGGCTTCACACCCAGCTGGAGCACCAAGACCCTGTCAACCACATGGCTCAGAAGAAAAGGAACAAAAAAAAGGGAATAAAATAATAATAATAAAATTTTTAAAATTATAAAATAAAGAAATAATAAAAAAAAGAGAGCAACCAAACCAATAAACAAATCCACCAACGATAGCAAGCACTAAAAACTAAACTAAGATAAACATAAAAATCAGAAACAAATCAGTTGCAGACAGCAAACCCCTAGCCTACAGTTGCTCCCAAAGTCCAGTGCCTCAATTTTGGGAATATTCATTGTCTATTCAGGGATTCCACAGATGCAGGGTTCATCTGTTGATTGTGGGAGTGTAATCTGCTGCTCCTGAGGCTGCTGGGAGAGATTTCCCTTTCTCTTCTTTGTTCTCACAGCTCCTGGGGCTCAGCTTTGGATTTGGCCCCGCCTCTGTGTGTAGGCCGCCCTCAGGCGTCTGTTCCCCACCCAGACGGGAGAGGGTTCAAGCAGCGGCTGATTAGGGCCGTTTGCTGTCTCAGGCCAGGGAGAGGGAGGGGGATGGTAGTCATAATTGGAATGCGATGGGAGCATGCAGCGGCAGAGGCCAGCGTGACATTACAACAGCCTGAGGTGCTCTGTGTGTTCTCCCGGGGAAGTTGTCCCTGGATCTGGGGACAGTGGCAGTGGTGTGCTGCACAGCCTCCTATGGGGTTGTGGGGGTGGGTATGGGTAGTGACCTGTGTTTGCACATAAGATTCTTGGTGGCAGCAGCAGCAGCGTTAGCATTTCATGCCTGTCTCTGTGGTCTGAGCTGCTAGCCACAGCTCATGCCCATCTCTGGAGCTCACTTAGGTGGTGCTCTGTCTCCTGTGGGCACACATGGAAGGAATCCCGTCTCCTCACACCCCCCGAAACAATGGTCTCTTGCCTCTTCGGCAGGTCCAGACTTTTTCCCTGACTCCCTCCCAGCTAGTTTTAGCACACCAGCCCTCTTCAGGCTGTCTTCACGCAGCCAACCCCAGTCTTCTTCCTGGGATCTGACCTCCGAAGCCCAAGCCTCAGCTCCCAGCCCCCACCTGCCCTGGCGGGTGAGCAGAAAATTGTCTCAGGCTGGTGAATGCTGGTCGGCACTGATCCTGTGTGCAGGAATCTCTCCACTTTGCCCTCTGCACCCCTGTTGCTGCGCTCTCCTCCATGGCTCCAAAGCTTTCCCCCCATCCACCTCCCTCTCTACCAGTGAAGGGGCTTCCTAGTGTGTGGAAACTTTTCCTCTTTTACAGCTCCCTCCCAGAGGTGCAGGTCCTGTCCCTATTCTTTTGTCTCTGTTTTTTCTGTTTTCTTTTGCCCTACCTAGGTACGTGGGGATTTTCTTGCCTTTTGGGAAGTCTGAGGTCTTCTGCCAGCATTCAGTAGGTGTTCTGTAAGAGTTGTTCCACATGTAGATGTATTTTTGGGGAGGAAGGTGATCTCCACGTCTTATTTCTCCACCATCTTGAAGGTCCCCCCCCATAGTTTTCTTTTATTTTTATTAAAAATGGATTTAAAATTAAAAAAAAATTATTTTGGAGTATAGTTGATTTACTATGTTGTGTTAGTTTCAGGTGTACAGCAAAGTGAATCAGTTATACATATACATATATCCACTATTTTTTTAGATTTTTTTCCCATAGCCCATTACAGAGTACTGAGTAGAGCATCCTGTGCTGTACAGTAGGTTCTTATTAATTATCTATTTATATGTAATAGTGTGTATATGTCAATCCCAATCTCCCAGTTTATCCCACCCCTTCCTTATCTGCTGGTAACCATAAGTTTGTTTTCTATTGATACATCTGTGACTCTACTTCTGTTTTGTAACTACATTCATTTGTCCCCTTTTTTTAGATTCCACATATAAGCAGTATCATAATGATATTTGTCTTTTCTGTGTCTGACTTACTTCACTCAGTATGACAGTCTCTAGGTCCATCCATGTTGCTGCAAATGGCATTATTTTGTTTTTTTTATGGCTGAGTAATATTCCATTGTATATATGTACCACATCTTCTTTATCCATACCTCTGTTGATGGACATTTAGTTTGCTTCCATGTCCTGGCTATTGTAAATAGTGCTGCAATGAAAAAAGTGGATTTAAATTTTGATAAAGTACTCATGAGGAAATATTTAGGCTTATAACAGTTGTTATTTGTTTATATTTTTAGAATTCGAGATGCAAGCATGCAGTTAAAAAGTCACCAAAATGATTTTCAGAGAGTACAGAAAGAATTGAGTCAGTTGCAACATGAGTTAAAAATTAAACAAAGACAATCACAAATCTTCAGGTAAGATTATCTTTAAAGAATTGAATATTATAGTATTGAAAATATACACTCATTTAATACTAACTTTATAAACATTCAAACACCTTTTAGTAATATAGTTTCTATGTTTATATAGTTTAATATTATAGTGTTGTTGAAAAAAATGGAAACACTTCACTTTTTTTTAAACTGTTATCTCAACTAAATAGTTTTGCCAATAACATTTAAATTAGGCAAACACCTTGTTCTGATTTTGCAGTGACATTTAGAATGAAAGCACAGTAACTAATTCATTTTCCTCTTGGCCAGTATTTCTTGGTATACTTGATCTCCTGACCAACCGTCCAGTGACATGAAAAGAGTAGAATGGGGAAACTTTCTAACTGGATAGTAATAGACCTCCTAAATTTAGAAATTTCCAATATAAATGGTGTTAAGTCTGCTTTTATATAATCTTTGAAGGCTTTATAATAACTAAAGGTAAAGCCCAATGTTCTAAAGAAAATAGGAAGTACTTTTTAAAAATGGAATTGAATATATTGAGAATATCAGAAAGAATGATTAATTTTTAAATTGAGTAACTTTTAGCTCTTAGAAAAGGAAAATAAGTTAAATGAACATTATAAATAGACACAGGTTCAGGATGACTAAAAAACATATGCCAGGTAAATACTTTTAATGTTCTTATTTTTTCCAGTCTACTTATTATTATTGGGAATATTGTTCTGTTAAAAAAATTATCTGGGCTAATAATTTTTTTATGCAATATTTGGTGATAACCTGTTAGCCATCTAACCTTTCATTAATGCCTTGCACATAACTGATGCTAAATAAATAATTTTTGAATTAATGAATGAGTCTACTCACAAAACAGATGACAATTTTTGTCATCAGAAATCTTCTCTGTCCTTTCCTAGAAATCTAGTATTGAACCAGCAGGATATCACCCCGGTGACCCCAACTCTCCATTTTAGTCAGGACCATCAGTATTCAGTCTTGGCCCCAACAATAGCTTTGGCTCAGGTCCACTTGGGAAATCCCATTTGTTTTATCCAGAGATGCCATTATGGATGGCAGGATTGACTAAATTTTAAAGGCTAGACTAGGACTAGATTAGACAATTAACGCTGCTTCAGGATATTATGGACTGATAAAGTCAGTCTTTATTATTCACATTTTACATGTAATTTGTAGTATTTTAAATTCTTGAAGAAGCTTATACATATTTAAATGTTATTTTTATTCTATGTTGTAATTTTGTCATCATTTTGCATTATACTTTTACTGCTTATTTTTTAAAATGTTTTCAAAAGATCTGTGGTTTTTGTTTACTTTTAGATAAAAGATCACAAATTAGGAGTTTCGGATCTGATTTATATAAAAAAGTAACACTAGAAGTTTTAGAAGTAACCATTTAACTAGACAGTATAAATAAAAGTTTGTGACAGATGAATAAAAATAATTACATGTTTTATTAATACTCTCACTAGTAGGTACATTGCATGGGAGAAGGCAGCCTGGTGAAAATAAAATCAAACCAAAAGTTGTAGAGTTCAGTGATTTTGTTGCATTACTAAAAGCTCATTTTAAACTAGTTTACTGATTATTTAAAAAAAATATCTACCAGAACGTAAAACTTCGAGTTTGCTGTGGATAAAGAAAAGGAGCTTATAATCTTCTCTCTTAAAGTGGTAAAGAAAAGAAGCTTGAGCTTTAGCTACTCAGATGTAATCATCTTTATTTACGGAGTCCAAAAGGAAATGCACTATGTCTTTGAGTCACTTTGCTCTTTTTATTCTCTCATTTGTTTAATTGCAATAGGGCTTAATCACCTAGCCTCCAGCAAAGTGTTCTTCATGCTTTGTATTTTCCCTGACCTCATTTCCAACCTGTCTCTCGCAAGGGGTTGATGAGGAGTAGCTGTGGTATGCCTCAGTTGGCTCAGCACAACTGCTATTCAGAATAAAGTGTCTTTTGAGAATGGAAATTAACTTTTGAAAGCCTGTAAAATAGATACTAAAAAACAATACGGAATATAGGTATACTTCACTTTATGTAAAGTTGTGTATAACTCCAAAATTCCAAATCAATCCATATTTGAAATATTTTGGTAGTGCTTACTTTTATAGGATTCTTATTGTAAATCTTTGATAAATTGTTTGAAATATACTTATCCTTTAATTTTTCTTGTTTGTAAATCCAGACTCTGTCATCTCTGAAATTAAGCCAACTCCCCAAATCTCTCACTTTCACACCAACTCTTCAGCCACATTAAGGCTTCTAGTTTTGTTTTGTTTTGTTTTTCTGATTTTCCCAGCCATTTCCTGGCCTTACTTTGTTTTCTAGCCTTGATCCCATAATCAGCTCATGTCTTTTTTAAACAGCTGTATTGAGATATAAGTTACATACTACAAAATCCACCCCTTTTAAGTAGACAATGTAATGATTTTTAGTAAACTTACTGAGTTGTGCAACCATTACCACATGCAATATTAGAACATTTGAGTCATCCTTAGAAGATCCTCATGCCGTTTGCAATCTCTATCTTCACCGCCAATCCTAGGCAATTGCTTATCTTCTTTCTGTTTCTGTAGATATTTCTCTGGACAATTCAAATATATGGAATCCTACAATATGTGGTCTTTTATATCTGACATCTTTCAATAATGTTTTTGATGTTTATCCATGTTGTATCATGCATCAGTACTTTGTTCCTTTTTATTGCTAAATAGTGTTCCATTGTCTGAACGTACTACATTTTATTTATGCATTTATTAGTTGAAGGACATTTGGATTGTTTCCGCTTGTTGGCACTTATGAATAATGCTGCTATAAACATTCACATGTAAGTCTTTGTGTGGATGTATGTTTCATTTCTTTTGAGTAGATACCTAAGTGTAGAATTACTGAATCATATGGTAAATTGATATTTAACCTTTAAGAAACTGCAAAACTATTTTGCAAAGTGGCTGCACTATTTTACATTCCTACCAGGTATGAGGATTCTACTTTCACTGTGTTCTTGACAACATTTCTTATTGTCTGTCTTTTTTTTATAGTAGCCATTCTAGAGGCTGTGAAATGGTACCTCATTGTGCTTTGATTTGTGTTTCCCAAATGACTAATGGTGTTGAACATCTTTTCGTGTGCTTATTAACTATTTTTATGGTTATTTGGTGAAATATCTATTAAAATATTTTTTTCTATTTTTCATTGGTTTTCTTGTTATCAGATTATAAGAGTTCTTTGTATGTTCTGGGTACAAGTCTTTTATTTGAAATATGATTTGCAAATATTTTCTCCCAGTCTGTGGCTAGTCTTTTTGTTTTTGTAATTGTGTCTTTTTGAAGAACAAAAGTTATTATTTTTAGTGAAATACAGTTTAATCAATGTTTTCTTTTAGGGATTGTGCTTCTGGTAATGTATCTAAGAACTCTGCCTAACCAAAGGTCACAAAGATTTTTTCCAGTAGGTTCTTCTAAAGGTTTTATATTTTTAGCTCTTACCTTTAGGTCTGTGATCCATTTTAACTCTTGTGAATGATGTAAAGTAAGGATCTAAATTCATCTTTTTTTTTCATGTGAATATTCAATTATTCTAGCACTGTTTGTTAAAAAGACTATTCTTTCCCTATTGAGTTGCCTTGGTCCCTTTACATAAAATCAATTCACCATGAATGGAAGGAATTATTTCTGGACTCTCTATTCTGTTTTATTCATCTATTGATGTATATCTATTCTTAATGTCAGTACTACACTCTCTTGAATATTATAATTTTTAGTGAATTTTGAGATCAAGAAATGTAAGCCCTTCAAATTTCTTTGTTTTCAAGATTGTTTTGGCTATTCTGGGAACCTTGTATTTCCATATAAATTTTAGGATCATCTTGTCAATTTCTGAAAAATAGCCTACTGGGATTTTGATAGGTATAGCATTAAATCTATAGATCAATTTGGGGAGAATTTCCATTTTTAAAATGTTGAATTTTCAATCCAAGAATCCATATATCTCTCCACTGAGATCTTTAGTTCTCTCAGAAATGTTTTGTTTTTAGTATACAAGTCTTGCACTCCTTTTATTTCGTTTATTTCTAAATATTTAATTCTTTTTGATGTCATGACAAGTGGGATTTTTTTCTTAACTTTATTTTTGGGATTCATCATTGCTAGTAAACAGATTGGTTTTTGCACATGGTTTATGTATCCTGTGATCTTGATGAACCCATTTATTCTAGTATTTGTGTGTGTGTGTGTATATTCTTTAGGATTTTCTTCATAGGGTATGTTTCTGCATAGAGGAATTTACCAATACTCCAGCTACTCTTACCTCTGCTTATTTACCCTTAAAACCCTCAGTCTTTATACCCACTTACAGGTTGTTAAACACCAGGTCCTCAATTTCTTCAGTACTATTCTAAATCCTCAATATTCTGCTTAAAATTCTTTGTGCTACTCATCTCTCACCAGCTGTGTGTCTTGCCTTGTATTTCACAAAGAGAGTTAAAGTTATCAACACAGGCGTATTTCCTGTGAGTCAAATGATACTTAAGTTTCAGAACCCCGCACTCAGGACCCCCTTCCAAGCTTCTGGGAGGGCCCCTGGCAAAGTAAGATGGTTTTAAATTATAATTGTAAAAATTCTGTCTCTTTGCACTCTGATTTCCCTTCTTCTACTTCTGATGTCAGTATGCCCTTGGAGTAGTCCCTGGCATTTGAGGGATCTGAGAGAGAAAGTTGTGTTGGGAATATACATTATAACTGCCATTTGGAAAGACATTTTAGACTGCTTCAATTACACAAACAAGACATTGCAGACTAAAAATAGGGATGTGTATGAATTTATTATTATTATTATTTTTTGCGGTACGCGGGCCTCTCACTGTTGTGGCCTCTCCCGTTGCGGAGCACAGGCTCCGGACGCGCAGGCCCAGTAGCCATGGCTCACGGGCCCAGCCGCTCCGCGGCATGTGGGATCTTCCCGGACCGGGGCACGAACCCGCGTCCCCTGCATCGGCAGGCGGACTCTCAACCACTGCGCCACTAGGGAAGCCCTGTATGAATTTTTTTGAAATAATGGAGTAAAAGCAATAAAGATGAACAATTTAAACAATAGAAATTATTCTGTCATAAAAAACAAATTATAACATTTTTTCAGATTACATCATAAGTGATACATTTTCAATAAAATCTCTTGAATTATTTTGTAATCCATTCAATGAAGAGGAGTTAATTATTTGAATACATTGGAGAAAGATTTAAGTTTCTTGTTGATTTGACCAAAGCTGCTGACATCACTGAATATATCATAAAAATCATAGTATACCACTTCAAGGACATCTGAGATAAGCTGGTTCATGAGTTTCATCATTTCAAAGACAATTTAAGATGTCATTTTCCAAGAAAACTTGAAATGCCAAAAAATTTATCATATATGAAAAATTTTTATAAGGATTTTCCCAAATTTGACAATGCTTAATATTTACATGATATTACCAATAATGGGCTATGAAGCTAAAAGAACCTTTCTAAACTACCACAGATAATAAAACTAATGGCCTTGCTAGATGAAAGGCTGTATAATTTTTATATTCTCTCCACACAAAGTATTATTATAAAATGGTTCTCATATGAAAAGGTGCTTGTAAAGCATGTAGCCAAAAATTATAGACAAAAGAAGTATTGTAGAGCTGTTACTTATTAAAAAGTTATACTGTTTTTCTGTATTTTGTGATATTGATGAGATTTATTAACTTTTACAATTTTATTTGTAATGATTTTTCTCAATCTATAAGTGCACACTTTTAAACCTAATTTTGTAGTCGTCTTTTACAAGAAAGCCATCCCTCTATCCACACCAATCATATAAGATCTAGGCCACACAAAATGTGATGGATCTGCTCTTCGCTAAGTGGCTTGATTTTTCTGTTTCCTGCCTTTTGTCCCTACAGAAGCACATGCATCCGTATCTAGTCTTTCTTCTATTAAATATCCCTTTAGGCCTTGACCCCCATGTTCATGACTTGCTCCCAGCAGCTGCCTTACATTGGGCCCATTAGGTCTTTAACCTTGACTTAGTTCATAGTTCTTGTCTCTGTCTTACCACTTCCTGGCTTCGCATTCAGACTTCCCATCCTCACCATTGCTCCCCTTTGCTTTAGTGATCTGTTGGACTCTTTCTTTGATTTTTTTTTTTGACTTGTTTTTAATAGAAATATAGTTGATTTACAATGTTGTGTTAATTTCTGCTGTACAGCAAAGTGATTCAGTTATACATGTTATATACATTCATTTTTATATTCTTTTCCATTATGGCTTATCTCAGGATATTGAATATAGTTCCTGTGCTATACAGTAGGACCTTGTTGTTTATCCATTCTATATGTAATAGTTTGTTTATCCATTCTATATGTAATAGTTCAGATGTAATAGTTTGCATCTGGTAACCTCAACCTCCCAACCCATCCCTCCCTCACCCCCACCCCTTTCTTTGATTTTTTTTTTTGAAATCAACATCTCTCTTAGCTGCCAGGTCTGCATGCTGATTGAGGATTCCCTGTGGCTTTTGGTCACTCAAGTGGACCTTATTAACTAACCACACAGAATGACACCACCCTTCTTCTTCCTGGCAAAGGCTAATCTTTCAGCCTTTGTTTTACACCTGTCCTTTCTTTCTAGCTCTCTGCACAAAAAATGATCACATCTCTTGCCTGTGTCTTTTAGCCTCTGTGACTGTACTCATACTGTCTGCTCAGCTCTGTAAACACTCAGGTATCTCCCATCCTAACAAACCATTCTACTGTGTATCTTCCTTTTTCTCTCCTTGCTGCCTCAATCAAGGTTCTTGATTGCTGGTACCACATAACTATTTTCTCATTTCTGCTTTACTGCTCAGTCTTTTCCTACCTGAAGCCTCTCTCTTAGGTCACCAAAGACCTCCTTAATACCGGATATAATGGCCCCTGTTCAGCCTTTGTCTGAGGCCTTAAACGCTCATCACTACTCTCTACTTTAAATTCTCTTATCCCCTGGCTTTTCTGATGTTATCTTTTTGGCTTTTCTTCACTGGTTGCTCCTCCCTCATCTCCTTTGAGGGTTTGTTTTCTGATTTATTCCCATAAATATTAGTGTTGTCCTGTATCTTATCCTCAGTATTTCTTCTTTATTCCTCCAACAGAGTGATCTATTTTTTTCACTCATTCATTCATTCATCAATATGTGTTGAGTACATACTATGTGGTAGGTACTGTACTAGGTGCAAGGGAGACTGTGATGAACAAGACAGATACAGTCTCTGCATAATAGATCTTAGTCTACTTAGGTAGATAAATATTAACTCCCATGGCTTCAGTCATCATCTTTTTGCTGATAACACTCATATCCATGTCTGCATCTTGCTTGATTATTAGGTAAATGAGAGCCAGGACATCTGAAGTAATAAAAATCATTGAGATAGTAAAAAACATGTGGTTACTTTGAGCTGTGGCATTTGATGTGGGAAAAGCACTGGATCAGTCACTTAAAAAGGTTTCATTTATTATTACCCCAGGTTTTACACTGCCTGTAGGACTCTAGCACAGGAAGAATGCTGTCTACAAATCTGAGATTCTCTTTTAGGCTCAGTGACTAAGTCACTTTTTTATTTTATTTATTTATTTTTGGCTGCATTAGGTCTTTGCTGCTGCAGGCGGGCTTTCTCTAGTTGCGGCGAGCGGGGGCTACTCTTCATTGCAGTGTTCGGGCTTCTCATTATGGTGGTTTCTCTTGTTGCGGAGCACGGGCTCTAGGCGCGCAGTCTTCAGTAGTTGTGGCACGTAGGCTCAGTAGTTGTGGCTTGTGGGCTCTAGAGCACAGGCTCTGTAGTTGTGGCACACAGGCTTAGTTGCTCCACAGAATATGGGATCTTCCCAGACCAGGGATCAAACTCGCGTCCCCTGCATTGGCAGGCGGATTCTTAACCACTGCGCCACCAGGGAAGTCCTGACTAAGTCACTTTTGACTGAATTTCCTTCACTAAATGTTTGCTGTTAAATTAATTTTAAAAGATTAATAGAAAAATGTGTATGAAAGTAGTTAGCTATCTTTATTTATAGTTAAAATATTATAACACAATGGAAATGAGTTGGGGTGACCATATACCTCAGTCTTCCTGGGATAACCCCAGTTTATATGTTGTCTCAGCATAATGCAGATAGCACCTACTTTTACTTTCATAACTGTCTCCATTTAAACGGTAGATTGTATGGTCACTCTAAAACCATTTTTCAAAGAAAACCTTTTTTCAAATACATATTTGTTATTATGCTTGCTATTTTTTAAAATCCTAATTTTTCCTTACTTCTTTACAGTCAGAGATTGACAGAATACAAGTATCTCTGGAATAAGACTCTTTCATTACTTACTTTTAGTAAAAGAGAGCTAACCAGTATTAAAAATGAAGTATATGATAATTTTCAAAACTGGACTTCACTGAAAGGAGAAGTTTTTCTACAAATTAAATCCATAAGTGAAACAGCCTTGACAGGTTTGTTATATATATTTAGAACATAATCATCCTTTTTTTGGTAAATGGTATATCATAAGTAATGAAATAATGATACTTCATTTTATGTGATGGGAATTATGATTAATTTTAAACCTGTTATTTGTTAGTATACTAGATGACCATTAAGATCTATTCCACCCCTGAAATTTAATAATTATAGACCTGATCTAAGATAAGCTCTGATACATCAATCTTGAACTGTGACCAGAAGTCTGGTTATTCCTGTTAAATGTACAAATTTGTATTTTAAAACTTTTTTTCTGTTAATGGCTGAGTAGCTCTAATTAGATCAGATTTCCCACAGATAACAACTATAAATTCTGGACAAAGTACCTACCTAAAAACACTGGAGAGTGACCAAGACCAAGCACATGGAGGGAACATAAGAAAAATTGAAAGAAGGCCTATTACTATTTGAAAAAAGCCAATCTAAAACGGTTATGTACTGGATGATTCCAACTGTAATATATGACTATTCTGGAAAAGGCAAAACTATGGAAATAGTAAAGAGGTCAGTGGTTGCCAGGGTAGGAAGGAAGGATGAATAGATAGAGCATGGAGTATTTTAGGGCAGTGAAACTATTTTTGTATAGTATAATGGTGGATAGGTGTCTATACATTTTGCCAAAACGCATAGAATATACAACGCCAAGAATGTACCCTTAATGTAAGTTACAGATTTGGGATGGTAATGATGTGCCAATGTAAGTTCATTAATTGTAAAAAAATGTACCACTGTGGTGCAGGATGTTGATGGTGGGGGAAGCTATGCATGTGTGGGGGGCAGGGAGTATCTGGGAATTCTCTGTACTTTCTGCTTAATTTTACTATGAACCTAAAACTGAACTAAAAAAATCTATTATTTTTTTAATTGAAAGAAGGGGATAGCACTGGGTGAATTCCTTGTTTGTTGTTGTTGTTTGTTTTGGTGTTTTTTTATGGCTGTTAGATTGAGGGCAGGGTACAATCTATTCCAGGCAGGGAAGCTAGAACTTTGATAGAAATCTATAGTCTTTTTGGCTTTAGGACTGGAGAACAGAGATCAAGGCAGTCCCAGCTTTGAGAACTGAGAGGATATCCTCGAAAAGAGATAGAAAGTGAGAGCTCAAATTACGCATATAAACTCTTCCCAAATCTCTGGCTTATCCCTAAAATACGTGTGTACAGGGAAGACTCTTAAGTAGCTCATCTAAGGCTAAAGCGATTGACATTACCTGCTACCTACCCTAGGGGATACAGTTTTTAGTATATGAGTTCAGCCAAGTTAACTACCTGTTAAAACAAAGCAATACCAAAAAAAAAAATCAATACTCTAGAGGACCATAACAGAATCCAGAGTCTCCATAACATAATATCCGCAATGTTTAGGATACAATCCAAAACTACTTGAACTGGGAAGAAACAGGAAAATGGCTTCTACTCAAAAGAGTAGATAGTCAATAGAGACCAACCCTGAGGTGGGCCAGATGATATAATTAGCTGACTAGGATTTCAAATCAGCTGTTAACTATGTTCAATGACATAGAGGAAAATAAGCTAATAATGAATGAAAAGAGAGAAAATCTCAGCAAGAAACTATTAAAAATTGGAAAGTCAAGAATTAAAAAATGCAATATCTAAAATAAAAATTTACTGGATAGACTTTTATAGCATATTGTGATTACCAAAGAAAGAATCAATGAACTTTAAGATAGATTAATAGAAATTATTCAATTTGAAGAAGAGAGATAAACACTGAAAAAAGTGAACAGAGCTCCAGGGAAGGGTTAAAATGTACCATAAGTAATAAATATCAGTAAATATGAAACTCTTTTTTCCTTTGAATTGAAAAACTGCCTATGCTCATTTAAAGTAAGAATTATAATATTATATGGTGGAGGTTATAAAGTATATTGATTTAACATATGACAGCTAGAGCATAAAGGACGGGGGATGGGGTAATAGATCCATATGGTTGCACGCTTTTTGTATTTTATGTGACATGGTGCAACATTCATTCTATGTAGACTAAGAAATTAAGGATGTATAATCCCTAGAGCAACCACTAAAAAAAATACAAAAAGCTATATAAAACGCTAATAATAATGGAGAATTAACATCATCTGACTCTAAGATTTATTATAAAATCACAGTAAACAAGTCAGTGTAATACTGGCATATGGATCAACAATAGATCAATGGAACAAAATAGCCTTGTAAATGACCCCTGTTGATAATGATCATTTCACTTTTGACAAGGCACCAAAACAATTCAATGGGAAAAAGAAAGTCTTTCAACAAATTGTGCTGGAACAACTGAATAGCCATATAGGACAATATACCTTGACTCCTTAACTCCATAAAAATTAATTCAGGATTAATCAGAGCTAAATATAAAAGCTAAAACAATAAAAGGAGAAACAGGAAAATATCTTCATGAATTGATAGTAAATGAAGGCTTCTTGGATAGGACACAGAAGTAAGAATAACAAAAGAACAAAAATTGATGAATTAGACTTAAAGTTAAAAACTTCTACTCATCAAAAGATGCCATTAAGAAAATGAATAGGTAAGCCACAGACAGAGAAAATATTCCAAAAATCTGTGACAAAGGACTGCTGTCCAGGTTACATAAAGAACACCTACAAGTCAATAGTAAAAGGACAAGTGATCCAACCAAAAATGGCCAAAAGATTTGAATAGACACTTTACAAGGAAAGATAAACAAATGGCCAATAAGGACATGAAAAGGTGCTCAGCATTATGAGTCATAGGGAAATGCAAGTTGAAACCACAGTGAGATACCAGTACATACACACTACATTGGCTAAAATGAAAAAAAATGACAACAGCAAATTTTGGTGAGGAAGGAGGGCAACTGGAACTCTCAAACAAATTGGTGAGAGTATAAAATGTTACAGCCGCTTTGAAAAAGGATCTGACAGTTTTTTTTATAAAACTAAAGATACATCTGTCTGATGTCTCTGAAATTCTTCTCTTTGGAATTTACCATCTCCCCCAAATGAAAACATATGTCCATAAAAATATTCAGCAATTTTATTCAAGCTTTATTCAAAATAGCCTTAAGTTGGTAAAAGCTGAGAAGTACATCAGTAGAATGGATTATCAAAAAAACGGCTGAATAAACAATGGAATATAGAATGAACTACAGTAATGCAGTAACTTGGATAAACATCAAAAATATTACGCTGCCTGAAAGTAACCTTACACAAATAATGCACATTGTAAGATTCCATTTATATGATGTTCTAGAATAGGCAAAACTAATCTATAGTGGGAAAAAAAACAAAAAAACAAAAAACAGAAGTTATCTCAGAGGGGAGGATTGACTAGAAAGGGGGCATGAAGGCGCTTTCTTTGGTGATAGTAATGCTCTCTATTTTGATAGAGGTTTGGGTTACACAGTGGATGTATTTTTCAAAACTCATCTGTTGGTACATTTGAGATTTATGCATTTCTTTGTGGGTAAATTTCACTCAAAAATTAGAAATCTATATTGAACGCTAATTAACAGTGTGCATGCTGAAGTATTTAGGGAGTCAAATATATTGACTTATCTTGAAATGCATAAATATGTAAGATGGATAGAGGAATAACTATGTTATAAAGCAAATAGAGTAAAATGTTAATTGAAGAATCTAGGTAGTGTGTGTATTTGAGTTCACAGTACAGTTCTTCCAACTTTTCTGTATATTATATATTTTTTATAGTTAAATTTTAGAAAAAGAAAGCATTCTAACCATATAACTTCAGTTTCCTAATTTTATTATATAATATGTGCCTTTAGAAATGAGTTGTATATGATAATACTCTTAAAATTTTTAACTAATTTTGAGAATTAAATTTGGACAAATACAGATGAATATTATAACAACCATGTTTTCAACTGCAAAAATTGTTAATTTTTAATACTTTACCTTTAAAAAAAGTGTCTTAGTTCAGCAGACATTGAATCAAAGGTATAAGTGCAGGTAGTTTATTTGCGAAGTGAATGTCATGCAGGTATAGGGACAGAAAGGCAGCCAATAAAGTTTGCACTATTGCAGTGGGCAACTGGAGCTTAATCCCATGAAGAAACTGAGAAATGGTTTAAAACACATGCCTCAGAATTCCTCACTCAAGGAGTGAGGGAGCTGGACATCAACTCCCAAGAGTCATTGGTTAAGGGCTGCTCCCAGACAGTGTAAACTCCTTGGCACCTGTGGTCTGCCATTTGGTGGGAAGTGCTACTTTCTGCAGTTCCAGGGAAAAGATTCCTCCAGCACAGAGATGCAAATAGTGGGAACTGGAAGTCGGTAGAAGAACATTGAAAGGTTCAAGGGATATGGGCGGGGCACTGACAGTGTCCACTACAGTTAATAATATAGATATACTCTATTTTATGCATCATTTCCATTATTTGAACATTCACATATATCTTTTAATGAATATATGCCTTTGTTTCTTTCTGGTAAATACCTAGGAATAGAATGGCTGGGTCTTATGGTAGGTTATATTTAACTTTTTAAGAAACTACCCAATAGTTTTCCAAAGTGGTTGATCCTTTTAAATCCCTACCAGCAAAGTATGAGAGTTCTAGTTGCTCCATATCCTTGTCAACACCTAGTGTTGTCAATCTTTTAAATTTTAGCCATTTTAATGGGACACATATAGAGGATATTAATCCACATTCAAATCACTTCTCAATAACTTTCTCATTTTTGAGTGTCTTGTCACATCTTATTATAGAATATTTACCTCATGATGTCAGTAATGATGAACTCAGTCATACCAGAATAGAAGAAGCATCAGCTCTACCTGTTTTTGTTTTCATTTTTGTTGCATTATCAGTATCTTCCCTAATGCATGATTTCTTTGGGGGAATCTTTTAAGCTAATTGTCAACTTTAAGACTTAGTTTAGGTAAACCACAGAGGAGCACATAGACTGAAATATGTCACAATCACAGAAAGAGATAGAAAAGCGAGGAGGTACTGACAG